ATTGATGAACAGATGAATGAATGAATGAATGAATGAATGAAAGGAAGAAAGAAAGTGATGAACAGATGAATGAATGAACAAATGAATGAATGAATGAATGAATGAATGTGATCATGAACAGATTAATTATTGATGAATGAATGGATGGTAGGATGGACAAATTACTGATTGAATGAATTTAAGGAAGAAAGAGATTATGAATATATTAATTAATGAAGGATGGATGGCAGGAAGGACTGATGAATGGATAAATTAACAAAGGATGAATGGGCGGGTGAGTGAGTGAATTATAGGACTGATGAATGGACGAATTAATGAAGGATGGCAGGATGAATGAATGGACACTTGAATAATAGACAGACAAATGCATGAATGAGTGAATAAAATAATGATGGATGGATGATTAATGGACAGAATGAATGAATGATGGACAGACAGTGTGATGGCTGCAGCTATAGACGCTTATATTAGGTGATATTGATGAAACGTCACTCAGTCACAATAAAGACCAACACCACTAAATTAGAATTTAGTTTTTCTTAATTATCGGGTTTAATTTAGAGTAAACAGTCTTCTGTTGGTTTCTAGTCCCTTTATATAATCGCACGACACTGTTTTCTAAAATGAGTGCAGATATTTTAGTTTACGTTGTTGTGTTTGACAGGATGTAACCCTTTTGCTTTTTAGAGGCAGCTGCAGTCCCTCTGCTGACCAAGTAAGAGGTGGAGAAAGGGGCAGAGCAAGGCTTTAATGAGACCCACCACCATTCATGGGAGGGAGGGATTTGCTTTGTTAGTTTCTTGGTCCTTCACAGATGGATGGATGAACAGAAGATCAGTGTGAGCAAACTCTCTACCTTCCTGTCTGAACTTGTGTCCAGACCCGGATCATGGCCCAGATCTAATCAACATCCAGACGGTACCTCTCTACTGGATGGACTTGTGGGTCCATCATCACGCTCTGCTCCTGAAACTGATCCCTGATTCTGATCCCAGAGTCAGAAGGCGCTCCGCAGCGATGCTTCACCCTCCCATTAAAACCAAAACAAACGGTAGTCACAGAGACATTATTAATCCAGACACACGGGCTTGGGCTGATACCTCCGCGTCTGTTGTTTGATGTATTAGAACGAGCAGAACACAGAGGTGGACTTTTTCCATTGGCATCTTGGTTGATGAATAAAACATCAGAGTTGGAACAGAATTGAATTTCTGAACACAAGAGCAAAATGGTTATGGCTCACAGGACACTTTACAGTCTGTGACCCTCTGCAGAAAGTGTTTTTAAGACAGTCAGCTGTTTCTGCAACGTCCTGCGTGCTCGGAGAGACACGAAGAGGCCATTAAGTGATGTTTACGACGTCTTATTATCTTCTACTGTAAATGCAAGGCACGCCTTTAATGGTACTCCACAAAACGGGAAGGAAAGCCTCTGCTGCGGATTCTTTATGTTTTTGACATCGACTCCCAACTATTAAACCATGAATCTGCCTGATAACACCAATTTGAAGGATGCATTTCTTTGAACGGCTTTTTGTTAAAAGGTTGAAGGATCCAGAGCACCTGCATGCAGAGCAAGGATTAAAGAAAAATAGATGAAGAACTTCACAGATGAGTGTAAATGTGAAATAAAGAAGGATTGGCCTTTGTGAGGGACGTTTAACAGTGAAAAACACGTATTTCTGGTGGGAAAAAGGCTCTGCTTTGGTGACACACTTGCCTGTTGGTAGCAGTGTTGCTGCATCGCCTCGCTCATCGTCGTGGCGACAAAGCCGGCTGTCACCGGCCGGCGGGGCTCCATGCTACAGCAAAGAGTAGACTCATGTTTAAGCTGGCATTTTAAGAAACTGCGATCTGATGTGTTTATTAGTTGTTTTTTTTAGAATTAACACAAATGTGCATCATCTATCTGATTAAATGCATTTATTGTCTTTTGTTTCGGATATCAGTTTCAGGTTTTAAAGTCCGAGACACTCAGATTGTTTGTTTGTGAACAAAATCACTAGATTCTTGCAGAAATTATAATGTTCAGCTAAATATTTTACATTTAGAAAGTGAGCCGAAACAACATTGCATTTTTTTGTCTGACTGAACCACAAATTATTTAGTGATAATTGATAAATGACCTTTCCATCCGTTCCGTCAAGCAGCGGGTCAGTCTACGTGCAAGATCCTGGTCCGACAAGTTCATCCGGTCCTGTGTTGGAAGCGAGCATGGGGAGGGTTTATCACCTCCCAGACTGCTGATGGCACAGCCCTTTTATCCCAGGTGTGGCTCATTAGAGGGATTCAGCTCAGCTGTGCTCATCTGCAGCCTGGAAGAGAGGAGGGGAATGGGCGGAGTCTGTGCTGATCACTGGGGCTGGGTGATCCTGGCTCCTGGATCTTAAGAGGCCAGTCGCCTGTATAAACACTTTAAGTGTGAATAAAAACATCCATTCATGTTCTCTCAGAGTTTAGTTTAAGGAAAAGTGTGCCTAAAATAAGTTGTTTTAAAAAGTCCTTGTTTGTGATGTCACACATGGGGAAATTGGCATAGAGCCACCTTTTACATGCCTGAGAGATCTGCTGCTTGAGGAGCAGTGACTCTACTACGAGCCCCTCACAGATATCTGCACTTCTCGGCTTGTAACAGCCAGTTTGGGGAAGGGGTGGGTGTGGCAAACTGTAGTTTGTTTTCTTAAAGTGACAGAGCCCTGAAATGGCTCATTTTTGAAGGTATTGAAAATGTCAAGAATAAAAAGAATCTGACATTGCTTTATGAGAGAGGATTTTATGTAAAGACCATCATGAGCATTTTGGTAAAATATAAGTTAAGAAAAGTAGTCATAATATGTCTCCTTTAACAGTGGAAATAGGGCCAACACATTCTCACACCCAAAGCGTCGAAAAATGACGCGTGAGACCAAGTGTCAAAATATGACGATCAGGGTGCCCCAGCGCGTCGGGAGAGGACGCGCTGTGCCAGAGCGTCGGTATCCGACGCCCTCGGTGAGACGGACATTTGACCGACTTGTGAACTACTTAACCTTCCCCTCACCCCCATTCTAACCTTAACCAGCTTGCGCGTGCAAAGCTTTGAAAATTACTGAGGATGGGGGTGAGGGGAAGATTAAATCGCCGGAGGTTCGAGGAATAATGTCCGTGTCACCACGGGCGTCGGATACGGACGCCCTCGGTGACACGTGTCCCTGCGTGCCGCAACGCGTCCTCTCCCGACGCACTGGGGCACCCTGACCGTCATATTTTGACGCTTGGTCAAACGCGTCATTTTTGACGCTTTGGGTGTGAGAATGTGTTGATCAAATAGAACACAATGACCTTAAAGATGTCCTGATCTAAAAATGTGTACCTGATGGTGACAGAAAAAAAATGCCCGAGGAGTTTTATGCTTCGTTAGATGCTAATTAAGCAGAAATGTCCTTGGAAAATACCCTGGCCAACTAAATTAATTAGAAAAGCAGCTTTCACATTAAAATGAATTATTGTGACAACAGATGAGAAGGACTTGAGGCTCATTCTCATAACATCATCTTCTGATGAGTATATTGGGGATGGAATTTGGATTTTGAATTGACTTTCAATTATTCCCAAAAATGGTAAAATTAACAATGAATGAGCCAAAAAAAAACATATTTTAAATGAATTCTATAGTTGTTTTCTGAAAGTAATTTGTGTCTTATGCAATAAAAACATATCTTGTGTGATCTGTTAGTGCTGAGTGTGTTATCACTCTCAGCTACTATCTGATGAAACCATCCGCCATCGAACTGTGCAACACTAGTTAAACATCTTACCAACATGTTAGCTAAAAGGTTATACAACATACTGTCCTTTAGTGCAACTTTCAAACAGTATTAGCAGGAGATCCGTGGGAAGAATTACCTCCCTCCATTACAGCTCCGAACCGTCTGGAGCGGGAGGAAGTGACGTCACACAAGGCTATTCACAATGAAAGACCCAAACAAACTTTTCTCAAAATGTCTAAAAATATACATTTAAGATGAGAATCTTGAATGTAAAACGATTGTATAGAGTAAGTAAAATAAAAATATATAATTAAATAAGTAAATGAAATAAAATTTGAGAATTTTGGTGGAATGAATTGCACATTTTTCTTTCCATGCCACCCACACCCACACCCACACACACACACACACACACACACACACACACACACACACACACACACACACACACACACACACACACATATAGGGGGTCCTCCAGGCTTACAGTCAGGGTGACACTGGCCCACCCTGGCACAATTCTACCACCGCCCCTTGCCACCACCACTAAAGCCATCTGTGACCCCTCCCATCTTTGAGAAGAAATGACTTCCTTTGGCCCTGAAACATATTTTTAGGACAATATTATTATAAACTGAAATGACGTTGCTAAAGAAGGTTTGAAAAACAGAGGTCTCGATGACAAAAACAAAAAAGGCCGCGCTTTTATCTACTCAGTAGGTGAAAACCGCGGACGATGAGATGCTGAAACATCTGCAACAGATGTGTATTTTTCACCGGGGCGTAGATGCCAGCACACCGAGACCACCGAACGGTGCTGTGATAAGCCGCTGTGAGCATCCATCAGGAAATCAGACCAACCCACCGGATTGTGGAGCAGTGGACCATCTCGTGCCCCCTCCTCCTCCTCTCTCATCTTCCTCACCCCTGCCTGCGCTATATGTCACAATTCCAGCCCTCTCCTCTCGCTTTCTTTCCCTTTTTTTTCTAGTTTTTTTCTTTTCCTGCGCAAGAGGACGCACACGGCACGGCGACGGTGCGCACCACAGCGAGCTCAGAGCTCGGCAGGCGGCGGCTCAGCCTTTTGTTGCACGCCGGCGGACTGGATGTTGGATTTGCTTCTTTCACGGATTTGGATCGGGGGCTTAGGATAACTTCGCACGGGACAAAACCCGCCTTCTTTCACGTCCGCCAGCGATTTGTTTCGCCCGGCGTGTTGACGAGAGAGAGGGAGGGAGAGGGGGGAGGGGGTGGGGGGGACCAGAGGCTGAGGAGCGCAGTTGACAGATATGAGACATGAATATTCACGCGTTTTTCCCATCCAGCAGCTGATCGAAGCAAACAGCGCCTAGCTCGCGTGCTCGTTAGTTTTCCTGGGATGCTGTGATGCAGCAGCGTGGCTCTGTTCAGACGGAGACGAGGAGAAGATGCCGTGGTCGCCTCTCACCGCAGGGCAGTGCGTTTCTGACGAGCCCAGCGGCATGGATTAACGCGCTCAGCCGCAACTTTCTCCACAGACCCGCTGCTTAGAAGCGCGTTTGTTCATTTATTATTACTTAACCAGGCGTTTGCTTTGTGCTCATTTATTTCATCGGATCTTAGGAGGCGCTCCTGTAGGCGTGTGTGCTCCTAACATTAAAATCCTCCACATGCAGGGAGGCCCAACGGTCGCGTATGCAAATCCAGGTCGATAGGGAGACCCGGACGGCGGCGGCTGGCTGTTTGCTCTGGAAGTGTCACGGGGGAGTGTTTTGAGTCCAGCACGTTCCGTTTTTTTTCTCAACACGAACCTCAAAGGCAGCAGAGCAGACACGAGCCCGGAGGAGCGGAGAGAAACACTGTGTGGTTGCTGCAAGTCTCCAGAAAACTTTCAATGGTTTTCCGAAAGTTGCCCGGTGTCTCGGCATCGGGCATGGGTCTGCGCCTGTCCCAGAAATTCGTCTTTCTACTTTTCCTCTCGGGTTTGGTCACGCTGTGCTTTGGAGCCCTCTTTTTTCTGCCCGACTCCGTCCGACTAAAGCGCATTTTTCTGTCCAAGACCGAGGTCCAGGCTGTCACCGTCGGGTCAGACAACGATGTCAGGGAGCACCCGAAGAGACCCGGCAAGGAGCAGGAGCATCTGCGGGGCATGACCCCGGCCAAAGGGGACAGCAAGCAGAAGAGTCTCAGCCGCAAACCCTCCGTGTCTCACGAGGAGGCAGAGGCTGGGGGGAAAGCGCAGGAGGACATGGCTCTGTCCAGATCCAAGCCGGAGTCCGCCTCGGAGAAAGCCACCTCCGCTGACCATCACGGTGCCAGCTCGGATGCTTTCAGTTTCAAGAAGTTCCAGAAGTGTCTCCTCAAAGCTACGCTGGGGACAGACGGCGGCAGACCGGCAGACCCTCAGACCAACGAGCGCCGGGAGAAAGTTAAAGAGGTGAGTGTGAGGTCCTCCTGCAACTCCAATATTCCTCATGAGTGTGTCTGCAGGGTTGGGGGCTCAGAACGCATGCACGTGGGGATGCACACACTCCCTCTGAAATGCTAGACATCTGCCAACACAGCCTAGGGCTGTTTTTCTATTGTTTTTAATAGATGCATTAAAAATGTCAACAAACACACAGAGCAGATAAAACGGCTGTAAACAAGTAAATCCCAACCAGTCTTGGTTAGATCAGTCCCATCGCATTCTTCCAGAGGAAGATTTTATATGTAACCCTTAAATCAACCAATCAATCAATCAATCAATCAATCAATCAATCAATCAATCAATCAATCAATCTTCAAAAAGCACTTTAAACACACAAAGTGACCAAAGTGCTGTATTTGATTAACATCAACCATTTTATAAACAAAGCACTGATATTGGTATCTATCAGCCCTTATCCAATGGCTTACAAGCTCAGTCTATCACCCGTTTTTGTGTTCTGTTAACTCGATCCTGCCCCTGCAGCATCACCGCCTCTCTTCTCCACACAATCGCCTGCAAGTGATGCAACTGTGCGCAGTCCCTCTCTGGCCAGGAGCTCTCCAAGCTGTGTGCTAGCCTTTGTTGAGCCCTGTGGCACCAATAAGGGCTGCAGAGTGCGATCGTCTGTGGATCACACATCTGTACCCACTCAAGGCGAGTCGGGTGGAAAGAGTGCAGCAGGGTGTCAGTCGCTGGCAAGTGCATACAGATGGGTTTCAGCCTTGGCATGTGACGGGGATAAGTCCTGTTGTCGCTCTCTCCTCGGAGCCTGGTGTCACCCTCTCTTGCTGCTCACATGCCTTCGAGGTGATGTGCTACATGGCGACTGAGGCGTCAGAGGACAAGGGGTTGTTTTGCCCTCGCAATCTGAGCTCCACACACTCATATTCTCTCTGTTTGTTGTTCTATCAAGGAGATGTCAGTGTTACTTATCTGCAGTTGCTGTCATCTTTGGAAGTGTTTTTCCCCTCACCTAATCAGCTGAAGATCAGTGTAGTGTACACAATCAGACACACTTACTTTGCATACTTTCAGTGCATAATTCTAGAGTGTGTTTAGTGTGGTTTTATGTACCCCCCTCCACACACACACACACACACGCACACACACACTCACACACTCAGTATATACCCTCTTGAGCATGTTGTGCAACAAACCTCGTTTATTCCCAGAGGCGTGTATTCACAGTGCCAGCCACTGTGTGATGCAGTCAGGTTTACTGATGTCAAACCAAGGAGTAGCAAAAGTTTTAAGACTGAATCACTAAAAAATATAGTTAGTGGTAAAAAGTCTTGTGAAAGAAGTAGGGATGCAACGATACCACTTTTTTCCAAACCGATACGATACCGATACTTGGATCTGAGTACTCGCTGACACCGATTACCAATACTGATACTTCTACCACACAAAAAATGCAGTGATTTGGAATACAGATTTTATTTTCTTCTCTGCTTTCAACAGGAAAATACTGTGAGGTAGATAAAAAGTAAAACATATGAATAGAAATCATCACAAAACTAAAATATTAGGTGAACAGAAATGACAAGTTACAGTGAAGCCATTTTCAAGCAACTGCATCGGTATCGGTTCCTGGTATCGGTTCACTTTTACCAATACCGATAATGATATTGGTATCGGTGCCGATACCGATACCAGTATCGTATCGGTGCATCCCTAGAAAGAAGTGGTGCACCTCTTCCCAGGTAACCAGTTTACAAAAAGACCCCTGAAAAGGTACAATAACAGGTTTTACTGGGATTTCTGAGCTGTGCACGTTGTTTTTTCCCAGGTCAATAATTTCTAATCAGAATCTCCTGGTTCTCCAGCACCTGACACTTTAATCAAGGCTATATGTGACCCAGCTGGCCATCGTTCAGGTGTTTCTTTTGCTCGTTCAGGGCTAAGTTCACCCTGACGGAGATTTTAACTTTTAAACTTCTGATCCAGATCTCAGGTAGTTGGTCCTCACAATTTTGTTTATTCAAATGTACTTTTTGAGGTTACCAGAGTATACAAATGTTTACTTATCCCTTGTATACCGGTTGTCTCTTGATAGTCTTAAGTTACCATTTAGTAGGGATGTAAGAAAATATCTATATGGCAATATATTCTAATATTTTTTCCTGCAATATTACATTGATATTCAAAAGCTGTGTCTCGAATTTCTGGAAGAATTTACATTTGTGTGTTCTCCTATATTTTGGTGCAATTCAAGCACTGACCGCTAGTTGGCAGCAGTGTGCAATTGGTTTTGTTTCCATAACTGAAATGTAAATCTCTCTATTATGGTTCAGATACCTCATGTTAACTCATTCACTGCCGGCCGTTTCCTGATCAGAAAAGCCCTTCGCTGCCAGCATTTTTCAGTGTTTTCACTGTTTTTTTAAGAGTCACAGAACGATGATGTCAATGTCAAAACTACCAAAACAGAGTAGACTCACCTCTTACATCCGGAAGAATCAGCGCGTTTCGAGCGTTATCCGTTCTTTCATAATCCGTTGTCGAATTGTGATCGGCAGAAGCTTTTCCGGTTCATGCCTCAGTTTTTTTTACCAAAACGATCTCCTAACACATGGATTTTATGCTTCCTGGTCACATGACGTACGCAGATGAAGATCGACTTGAGAGCTGGGATGTTTGCTGTCACGGTGCGGGTGCTCGCTCCGACGCCCACACAGTAAAAAAATACAAATGGCGTCCTTAGTCGCCAGTGTCAGTTAATGAGTTAAGCATGTTAAACATCAGTTTAGACTGTTTATTGAATTTTCTTACAATAATTTAATTCTAAAAACAAACAAGCTAATATAGTTTGGCTGAATGCATCACAATATATCGTGATATATCGCATCGTCTCCCCTGTATCGTGATACGTATCGTATCGCCAGAATTTCACCAATACACAATATTCCATTTAGAATAATCAGATTTTATTTGTACCTTTCAGGAACTTCTAGAGAATACATATTAAGGGTCCACGTTCAGCCCTAGATGATACAAAAGTTCAATCTCTTTCCCGGGGAACAAAAATGAACTTCTATTGTAACATTGGTGTTTACTGTGCATAGAATTAGAGGTTTTCTTGCCAGTATTCCAGCTCATGTTGTTGTCTGCAGCCTGAACAGCCCTACAATCCTTGTTTTGACTGTAACGGAATGCAGAAAGTAGGCACCCCCCTTCACAAGCCCAGAAAAAGGGGTCCGCTCAAGCCCAGTGAGTGCTTCAATTCTGAAACTGTGAATGGGCATCGTTTTTCTAAGCTGCCAACAACAAGAAAGCAGACTCCCCACCTTCTCCCTCTGTGTGCACATCCACTGCCAAGACAGGGTGAAACAAGGGACAATGACTGCCTGATCACACATCACAAATGTTAAAAGGCAGCCCTAAGGATGCCAGCCAGTACTCCCAAAGTTGCCAAGGTGCTGCGTACCTATTCCAGCAACTTCCTGCTGAAGTCATTCTCCTCCCCAGCAGGATAAAAACGGGAGTAATCTTCACCCAGTCTCCTATTTGTTATGCTGTAATGCATCCCCCCCCCCCCCCCCCCCCCCCTCCTCTGAGTACATGGCTGCTTTGCTGCCTCACCAACTCTGGCATAAGAAGTTGGATAGCAGGAATCGCACCACAAAAAATGCATGCCCAGAGCAACAGGAGGGTGTTCTTCCTGGCGTGCATGCTCTTCTGCCATCCTGTAGGCTAAAACTTGGAGTGCAGAAGTAAAATATGAAATGCAGAGAGAGAGGAAACACATGAGACGAAAAGTGGAGCAAGGAGGATGCTCCGTGGCTTGGAGGGCTGGGGCCCATTCACGGACTCCATATCTCCCTCCTCTGTTGGTCCTCACGACATGGCATGCATCAAAAGAGACGTGTGCATCTAAAGGCTGCATCTGTGAAGTCTGAGATTTGCTCACTCCTTCGTCCACTGAATGTTTCACAGAGATACGCCGGGGCAGTCAAATAAGGGTATTTGCTTGCGGAAATTGGAAAGTGCTGTATAATGTGGGCTCTAACATATGATGCATTTGAAAAGGGAGGAGACGGTTACACAGAGGAGGAGATGGAGCTGACAGCTGAGCTCCGCAGCAAGAGGACAGACTTACTGCACCTTCTTGTAACCGAGTCCCTGTCAAAGGAGTAATAGAAGGCTTCCCAGCTTTTTTTGTCCTCTTTTTATCTCTCTTTCCCTTTCTGTCTCCTCCCTTGATTGAGAAGTTGGGGACAAACGTGCAGTTTCGGTTTTTGATTGTTGCTAAAGCTGTTCTAAAATTATACCGTAGTGAATGGTTTCTGCTTATAAAGGCTTGTAATGCTGGCCTATCACTGTGAGTAAATAAGAATTTCTAATATTTTTCTAACCTTATATTTTTAGATTAAATGTGCAAGAGACAGGATTAAAACTAAAATAACCCTCGGATTAAAAGGTCTCTACAGCTACAGAAACATGTCCCCTAGGTTTTATCTTAATTTCCTTATATTCTTAAATAATTTCCCTGAGCCAATATGTGCTAAAATGACCCTTCACAAGGTTAATGAAACGTCATTCAGACCCACACCGCCCTTTGTGGCCAGAATGTCCCACTTGCAACTGCAGAGTGGCGGGCCGCCTCCTGTTGGACTTTGAAAGAGCTGAGCTGACATGTCTGGCGCTGAAGTCTGCTTCCAGCACATTTCCTGCATGTTTTAGATCATGGACACAGCTGATTTGTTTAAATTAGCAACAAATCACTCCTGTAGACACTAATGAAGGCTGAGGAGACATTTCAGCTGTTTGATAAAGGTGTTAAAAACATGAACGCACAGAGGAGATAAGTTTTGCATTTGGTTCTATTAAACGGACGCCACAGGCCGCTAAAAGCAAACCAAAACTGCCTAGTGTGCCTTTAAAAGCCTCACGACAAAACAGTAACACCACAAAACCAACACGTTGTTTCTTGTAAGGTCTTGTTCAGTGAGAAAATATGTAATACT